CCAAAAAATTATGTGGTGTTTGTCTAAAATTTAACTGGGCATGTAGTATTTTGTTTTTGTTTTGTTTTGTTCCCAGACCATTTCCTTTGCTCTTTGAATTTTTTTCTTGTTTAGATTAGAAAATATAGATTACTTTAAAAAGTGAATTAGAGAGAAAGAAAAGATTTACCGTCCCAAGGTAGGGGAAGGGGCCAAAGCCAGGAAACATGGTAGCGGCCATAGCTCCAAGAGAACATAACCACACCAGATTGTAGTAAGGCAATGGCCCTGCTCTGAATTTAAAGAGGTGAGAAAAAGAGAAAGGAATAATAAAGCAGCTGAAAAAATAATAATAATAGTAATAATAATAATAGAAACAAAGTGCACAATAAATGTAATGTACTTGAATCATCCTGAAACCATCCTTACCCTTCCCAGTTCATGGAAAAATTGTCTTCCATGAAAAATGTCCCTGATGCCAAAGGGTTGGGGACCATGTAATACTGGATTTGACTAATAGAATATGCTGGGAATGATGCCTTACAACTTCTGAGCTAGATCTAAAGAAATTTTTGCAGATTTTAACTTCCTCTCAGAAAACATACTCTCGGGACTTCTGAGCCTTCAGGTAAGAAAGATTCCTATATGCTGATGGAACATAATAGGTCACATTAGAGGATGTGGAACCACATGCAGAGCATCCCAGTGTCTCAGTTGAGCCTTCAGAGGATGCTACCTAAGTATCATCTAACTCAGTCACGTGAGAGACTTCCAGAGAGAGCACCTGATGAGATCAATCAACTCAGAACTGTGAGAAATTTTTACAAGGCTGTAATTTTAAGCCACTAAATTTTGGTAAATATACACAAAAGTAGATAATGCAATATTGTGTTTTTCAGTGACTTTCATCAAAAATGGGAAATTTAATAGTACAAAATGCTCTGTAACAACCTCTTACTATCTTTTTAATGTCTTTAGGATCTGTCGGAATGTATATTTAATTCCAGATCATGACAATTTATAATTTGGATTTTCTCTTTCTTTATAAGGCATAAAGTTTATTTATTTATTTAGAAGAAGAAAAAGAAAAAGGAGGAGGAGGAAGAGAAGGAGAAGGAGAAGAAAACCTTCTGACATTTTTTTCAATATTATACATCTATTTTCAGTTGTATTAATTTCCCCTCATATTTACTTGTCTTTCTACATTTTTATGTTAAATTTGCTTATCATTTCTTAGATTTTTTTTTTTTGAATCAAGGTCTCACTCTGTCACCCAAGTTGCAGTAAAGTGGCACGATCATGGTTCACTGCACCTAAACTTACTGGACTCAGGCAATCCTCCTATCCAAGCCTCCCAAGGAGCTCGAATTACAGGCATGAGCCACCATGCCCAACTAATTTTTTGCAAAGATGACATCTCGCGATGTTGCCCAGACTCATCTGCAATTCCTGGGCTCAGGCAATACTCCTGCCAGAATTATTGTGATGAGCCACCACGCCCACCTACATTTTTAAGTTAAAAGTTTAGATCTCCATTATTTACATATTTCTCTTTTTATAACATAAGCATTTGCACTGATTTTGCTCTAAGGTTTAACTTGGTTCATATCAAAAATTGTGAAAATTTATTTTTATATTATTTTATTTAACATTGTTCAAATTATTTTCTGCTTTATTTTTGACGAGCCACAGATTACTTAGAAATGCATTGCTTCACTTCCAAAGTATTTGACAATTTTCTTAATCTATCTGATTTTAATTTGATAAGATTGTTGTCAGAATATGTATCTGTATGATTTTAATCTTGTGAAAGTTACTGCGAATAGTTTGATGACACTAGTATGTATTCTGCTTCATGGATATTCTTTGTGCAATGTAAAGAAGTATATAATTTGTAATTATTGGGTGCTGCTAATATATATGTCAACTATAAATGTCAAATAAGTCAAGATGGTTGAAAGTATTTTTTATGTTTTGATTTTCTTACTGATGTTTGTTTGCATGAAGCTATAGAGATGATTTTCTGACTTTTATTTACATCCTAAGCTCTCATACCATAATCATGCACTCAGCAAAAGTTATGAAAGACAAATCCGTTACCAGGGAAAATAGTTATTATATTGGGGACCTTTCTAGATTTCAATCCATCACACAAGCCCACAGGACTTTTAACTTTGCTGGTTTCTCCTTAACTTATCAAAATCTTCCTTTCAGTGCCAAACCTGATGTTCCAATCATATTAATATTTAGCAGATAGCCGGACTCGGTGGCTCAGCCTGTAATCCCACGCTTTGGGAGGCTGAGGTGAGTGGATTGCCTGAGCCCGCGGGTTCGAGACTCGCCTGGGCAACTTGGCAAGACCTCATCTCTACAATAAATCAAAAATTAACCGGGCATGGTAGCACGCCTGTAGTTCCAGCTACTTGGAAGGCTGAGGCGGAAGGATTGCCGTAGCCCAGCAGGTTGAGGCTGCAGTGGCCGGGAGCGGCCACTGCACTCCAGACTGGGTGACAGAGTGAGACTCCAACTCAAAAAATATATATATTTACCAGATAACACAGGGATAAGATGGAATACTGTCCCTGCTCACCTAAATAGATCTTGTTCATCTTTGGAATTCAGAATTTTTAGACTTTTTTTTAAGTTTTACATTTCATGTAAAATAAATCATATGACATGTAGTCTCTCAGGTCTTGTTTCTCTCACTTAGTATATAACATTTTGGAAGTTTACCAGTTTTGTAACCTGTATTATTTTGTATCTTTTTATCATTTTTGTGCAAATTTATATGGTACAACAGTAAATTTGTTACTGTATAGATTTAATGATGAAATAGGAGCTCTTGGGATACCCATCACCCAAATAATGTGAATTTACTCATTAAGCAATTTATCATTGTTCAGAGTGCAAAGATTAAACTTTACCATGGAAAAAACAGTTTGTGACCATACTGTCTCCCTGCCATGTAAGTATAGTTTTGCTTCTTTATATTTTTGTATGGTATTAAATCGCACAGCTGCAGCTCCTTTGGTTTATCCACTTACTATTTGAAGGACGTTTGGACTGTTTTCCATAGAAATAAAGACGGCAATATAAAGAGGATAATATTTATTTTATTAATTTATACTTTTTATGTCTCAATTTGTGTAAATCAATGATCCATTTTGTTGAAATGATTGAAATGTTCGAACATCTTACCAACAATGTGAAACTGCATTTATCTTAAACTAAATCTCAACTACTTGTAGTTATAATTCTGGACTCTGTTCTACTAGTGAATTTAAGCAATAATGAATGAATTATTAACAAAATACATCTATTAAAATAGATGTACACAATGTTTCAGCATCCTATAGAGCTAGTCAGTTGTTATTATACTTTCTATTTTCAAAAAATTTTTTCACTAGAAAATATATCTTTCTCACAAAATTTTGCATCAGCATAGTGTATCAAGTTCTAAAAACAATTATTTTGCTTGCCTTTTTGTTTTATTGTAATTGAGCTAATGGCTGGCACTTAATATGTTGAAACAAATAAAAAACCCTCAAACTGGCATGTATTGAGGATGCCTCTCAAGAACCTACAGGCCTTATGAGAAAATTAAATAGAAATACTTACACCCACAAAGTACCATAAACTGTCATATTCCTACCCTGAAATCATTTTCTCCTAGCACATTCACTATTGCTTTATTTTTTAAAATATGATTTTGCTTTTTTTCGTCCCTCATGTGTTAGGCCCACTCCACAAGGGTTAAATCAAATCTTGTCTGTACCAACTATAGTGATACCATGGAACTTCCAACGTGGATACTAGGGAGTGGATACTAGGAACACTGGAAAAAGGTTAGTTGCTCCTCATAAAGGCACATAGGAAGAAATAGTTTCCTTTTCCTGTCTTTAGAAGTAGAGAGACTATGTAACCTACATCTGTCCTTCTAACACCTCGGGAAAGCCAACATGATGTGTAGCATGAAGAGATGAGTATAAAATTACAAGATCATGGATGCCTGATGAATTTAGCAACCCTGGAAATACCTTTCTCGGATTTATCTGCTATGAGAGACACCGAGTCAAAGAAAATTAAAACTGAGGCATCTTTATTGAAATGCTCCCCCCATATATTTAAATTCTACCCTATAAAATCACACCATTGGTTTTATATACAATAATTCATTATTTTCATCTCAGGGAAAGAGAAAGAGTAAAGTTGTAACCCTAGAATCACACAAAGCAGACATGACTTATGAAATTCCTGTAAGATAATCTGCTTCACACAAGTAGTACTAATATAATAACAACCAAATATGCATGAAATAAAACTGTAATATGATTGAAAATGACTGTTGTCTCTGACTATGGAGAAATGGTACTTAAATGATTATTACTTTGTAATAAACTTTTGACTTGATTATCTGCTTTTTATGTCATTTACATTTTAAACAGATTCTCAAATAGAAAACAGTAGCAGAACACTCCATTTTTTTTAGGCAGTTTGTCTTTCTCTGAAATCTATGCAACTCTTTTGTAACAGTATATTATTGAAGTCAACCTAAGCACAGCGAAAACTCATCTCTTAAAAAAAAAATCAGCAAAGTGTGGCAGTATGGGCCTATAGCTACTCCGGAGGTTGAAGCAGAAAGATCACTTGAGCCCAAGCATTTGAGACTATGGTGAGCTACATCCTACCACTGCACTTCAGCCTGGGCAACAGAGACACTAATTTAAAAAAAAAAAAAGTTTTAACTTACTTTCTAGCTTGTTTTTCATATTATTTGTCAAGTTTATTTCAATTGTTTTAGCCTGTTTTCAGTTTTTATGCATTGCCTCTTTAAACTTTTGGCTAATATTTTTGAATAATGACAAGTAAAAATTATGTAGTATATTTATGGTAGAAAGCATGATGTTTTGATGTATGTCTACAGTGTATAAGTCAGCATTATGTTATTTAAAATATACATTATCTCACACAATTATCATTTATAAACAAAAACCATGACTTCATTGAGATGTAATTTTTTCTTTTTTTCTATCTCTTATCCTTGAGATTTGTGAAGCAGATGATTTTTCACTCCATGCTAATTTGAGAAAAATTTAATAATGTAGTAGGTACAAAGTAGGTCAGATGCATGGGAGTCAATAAGGGTTGGGTAAAAAGGGGACCAGGAAAATTGAATATAAAGGACTGTCATCAAATCTGGGACCTCCAGGCCAGGGGCAGGGGTGAGAAAGCTGTCAGGGAGAACATTTCCAGCAGCATCACTGAACCAGGAGCTGACCAGGTCCAGAGAAAGCACTCCTTCTGAGAAAGAATAAGAGCCAAGCAGGAAAGCTTTTCATGCTGGGAAGCTGGGACAGAAGGTTCCTCCTACTGACTTCAGTTCAGGAGTCCTGCAGAAGACAGAGGACAGTGTTGTTTTCAGACCTAACTCTACAAACAGCTGCTTTCCCCCTTCCATCAGTGCCTTATGTGAGAGCACTGCAGGAAAAAGAAACAAATGTCCTTTAGATTCCCAGATCAATGATACTTCAGAGCTCAGGCCTTTTACTAAGTGAAGAGAAGGTTTAGTGTAAACTGATGATCAGAAAATTTAATTCAAAGAGTTTCCCGCTATGTCTATCTCATGTCTTGTCACCTCTACCACCATTCTGGAAAAACTCAGTCTCCCTCTAGAAAAGGATCAGACATTATTACCTGTTGGCTGAAGTCCAGAGTGCCCTAGGGAAGGAGAGGAAAAGATCCAGATTTAAAAGATATAAAAGCAAATATGTTCTCAAATACAATGTTCTCAGGACCAGCTCTCCCACCTGAGATTTATCTAACACCACACCCACACCAGCCAGAGCAGAGAGAACAGCAGAAAATGAGAGCATGTGATCTGTGAAGCATATGTTACACAATCCTATGGAATTTCATTAGCCTTAATGGCTTTTCCTTTAATTGCCCCAAGTTCTCAAAAGATTGTCATGTCTGTTAATTCTCTGATCCCTTCGGACCACAAGCCCTTGTGCTTTGACACCGTAACTGGAGTAATAATTTCTGGATTTCCATAAATTTTAGTAAACTGGGGGAGAAAAGACTGTATGTACATGCTGATTATTGAGAAATAACATCAGCAAAGACGTATTTCTTGCTTCAGAAAACACTATAAAGAGATTCAGCTACTAGCAGGTTGCTTACCTTTCTGATTCCTGAAGTAGATGAGCAGACCTATCACGAGGAAGAGCAGGCCCAGTACAAAGCCTCCAATTCCACTCAGCATCTTGCTCTGTGCAGACTCAGACTGTGCCCCTGAGAGAAAAAGCCAAGTTTAGCGATTATTATCCCAAATCTAACTTCTTTTGTTGAGACCCTGAAATACAGTGCTTTGAGAATGAGGAAAGAAGTCTGCCCAGGAAGAACCAACATTACTGACCATTTCTGGAAAAGATACTTAAGAATTACATTGAATAGCTACAATATTCAGGTATTAAACTCGTTCAAATATAGCAGCCCTGACATAAGACACAACTTCAATATCTGATAAACAAAAAGCCTAGGACTCAATGAAATTAACTAGCTTGTCTAGAGTGGCAGAGCTACTAAAATGTGGAGATGTGATTGGACTCCACTCAGTTCTGGAAAGCCCCTACATTGCTTTTCTTCTCAGATCACAACAAAAAACTCAGAGCAACAACAGAGTCTGATGCCCAGGACACAAAGGGTGACCAAGACCTGTGATATTATAGAAAGGATCAAAATAAGGACAGCCTCTCCTGCCTGCCAGGCATTTGCCAAGATATACAGATCTTTCTAGAAACAGTCAAAAGGATACTCCCTGAGATACTCCCACTGGCCTGTGTTGAAGGAGAGCAGAACATGGGGCAAATGAAAATATCATATGTTAAAGGAGAAACCTGACACTCAGAGATAAGCAATGTTCCCATCCTGGAGGGTGAGAAATACATCAGATCAGAAAACTTCTTACTCCATTCCACTGTGACAGGGCTCATCAGACTTGGGTGCCCCACTTCACAGCTGTACACCTCTCCACTCTGAGGAACTGTTTCAAGCATCACTAAGATCTGGTAGGTCCAGTCTCCATTCTGGATCAGGCCTGTGGAGACCACTCCAGCCTCCTCTTCCTGGCCATTCCGGAACCACTTGACTTCGATGTTGCCTGGATAGAAACCACTCACAGAGCAGACCAGGAGGTTGTGGTGTTGCAGGGGCTGGGTCTTTGTAGGGTACACGGTTACCTTAGGCAGAACTGGGAGAAAAAAGGTAGAAGGAGTAAGTAATGAAGACAGAGTACGTCTACTTGGTTGACTGTTCTCTGTCTCTCTCCAAACACAGTCTGCAGTCTTGGGCAAGCCTCCATCAAAGCTGACCAAGTTGCCTCAGAGTGTCTTAAGCCTTGAAATTAATATTACAGCAAGGACCCTTAGATTTGAGTAATGTTGAGGAAACTGTATCTAGATTTTTCGTGGTGAAACTGTTATTCATTGTCAAAGTCTTACAAATCTTTGAAAGCATAGTGTACTAATTAAAAGTGTGATTTCTGAAGCCATGATTTCTGGTTCAAATCCAGATTCTGCCTCTTTCTGGTTATTCTGGAAGTGGTGTTCAAGTCCTTCCTCTCTCAATTTTCTCATTTATAATGGAGAATAATAATACTAATTTACCTGTTGGGGTTATGTGAGGGTTCATGCTCCTAAAATATAGAAAACAATGACTGATCGTGGACTTCAGTTTATATTAGCTATTTATTATCCTTGTTCACCCTGAGAGAAAAATATGATTCAAAACTGTAAGGCTAGATTAGGAGACAGAGTAAGGGAGACAAGGCAATGGAGCATATAGTTTTAGGAATACTACCTCCATGCATTCACACCTTAGAACACCTCAGAAGTGCTCTGTCCGTGGAAAGGAGGAACAGACTGAAAAGATTCTCTAAGTCCATGAGGTGAGTCCCTAGAAAGCATGAGTCCTATAGAAGAAAGAAAGGTATAAGAGAAGTATTTCATTTTTAAAAGTTCTGATTTTTACAATCAGCTGATCAATTATCTCAGTTGCAAAAGAAGCATAATTATTATTAGAATTATCAATTTATAAACAGTCTTTTTTTCTAGACTGAAATTTGGAACCAGGACAAGGTCTGGGACCCATTAATAAGTTTGCTTAATGCCAAGGACAATCCATGATATTAGGCAGACCCTCAGTAATCGCAATTATTTTAAAAGAAAGGAAAGTAAGCTGGCATTAGGCTCACACCTGTGATCCCAACCCTTCTGGAGGCAGAAGCAAGGGGACTGCCTGAGCCCAAGAGTTCAAGACCAGCCTAGGCAAATTGGCAATACCTCTATAACAAATTTAAAAATTAGCCAGGGATGGTGGCTACTGCTGCACCTGTAGTTCCAGCTACTTGTAAGGTTGAAGTGGATGGATCACCTGAGCCCAGCAGGTCAAGGCTGCAGTAGCCGTGAGTGTGCCACTGCATTCCTGCCTGGGTGACAGAGTGAGACACCAACTCACAAAAAAAAAGAAAAGAAAAGAAGAGAAGAGGAAAAAAAAAGGAAAGAGAAGAAAAGAAAAGAAAGCAACCTGGGCCTGGAGATAACATTTTTACAATGTCACAAAATGATAGATTTAAGATAGATTTAAATCATTACCAAAAAATTATTTCATATACAATATGTAATAGATAATTCTTACAGCAAGAATTATAATTGATCAATAAATATGTGAAAAAAGATTCAAGAGTCTTCAAAATCAACTATTAATTAAAAACTAAAAAGAGCCGGGCCTGGTGGCTCAGCCTGTAATCCTGCGCTTTGGGAGGCTGAGGTGAGTGGATTGCCTGAGTCCGCGGCTTCGAGACCAGCCTGGGCAACTTGGTGAGATCTCATCTCTACAATAAATCAAAAACTAGCCAGACGTGGTAGCGCGCACCTGTAGTTTCAGCTACTCAGAAGGCTGAAGCAGAAGGATCGCCGGAGCCCAGCAGGTTGAGGCTGTGGTGGCCGGGAGTGGCCACTGCACTCCAGTCTGGGCGACTGAGTGAGACTCCAACTCAAAAAAAAAAAAAAACTTAAAAGAGATTTAATTTGTAACTATTGACCATATTGTAAAAAAGATCAACAAAGACAGATGTGAAGTTCTGTTACAACAACTATAAAGGAATCATGTGAAAATACTTGAAAATAAAGGAATCATGTGAAAATACTATTAGCTTTATTATAAAAATAGTCACAGCCATGGTGGGACTTGACTGTCATTTCAGCCACTGAGAAGGCTGAGGCAGGAGGCTTGCTTGAGCCCAAGAGTTTCAGGCTGCAGTGAGCTATGATCCTGCCACTGTACTCAGCCTGGAGCACATGACAAGAACCTGTCTCCCAAAAAATAAAACCAATAAATAACAATATTTTAATTAAAAATCTAGCTTCCCAATCATCTCGACTATGCAAAAAAATATTAAGGGGAAAAAAGTAGAAAGAAATTTAAAACTAAAAGAAGCCTCAGAAAGGTCAGAGGTACCCACACTTCCCTAAACATTAAGTTAATGCTTTTTCTCAATGAAATATTTATACAAACGAACACCACAGACTTTATTCAAAGACTGCAGGATGGTGAAGGGTGTGTGCCAAGTAGAGTCTGCCAGAAGGCTCCTCATGTCACCCAGAACCTTCCACAATCTCCTCTCTCCTCCCCTAAACCTTCACCCCATGCATAGACACCTTAGATGGTCCTTCCCCACCTCTCTAAGGACGCATCAAGGTCTCCTCCCCTTTCAGCCCCTGCACGACCACTCCCACCTACCCTCCATCCCACCTCTCCCACAGAGGCCACCAAGCGGAAGGCCCTCCTGCATCCCCTCCCACAACAGTCACACTTGACAAAACCTACACTCCTCACAACTCAGTGGGAGTGTGGATTTTTCTCACGAGTCCTCAACCTCTCACAATCCTGAAGGTTCGCGATCGCGTTCCCATTCTCTCTCTCTCTCTCTCTCTCTCTCTCTCTCTCTCTCTCTCTCTCTCTCTCTCTCTGTCTCTCTCTCTCTCTCTCTGTCTCTCTCTCTCTCTTTTTCTCTCTCACATACACACACAAAGACAGACAAACACACACTCCCTGCTCACATAGTCGCTGACCCCCTGCCCAGCGTGCTCACCTCGCCGCGGCACCAGGAATCTATCGGAAATCTCGTAGTTGTGTCTGCACACCGTGTCCACCTCAGCCCGTCGGTCCTCCAGGACGTCCTTCTGCCCGTTCCAGTACTCGGCGTGGGCCGCCCCAGCTCCGTCACCGCCCGGTACTCCCCCACGTCGCTGTCGAAGCGCACGACCTCCTCCCGGTTGTAGATTTTTCTGTGCACGAACCGCACCCCCTCCGTCCCGTTGGAGAAATGACACTCAAATTTATTCAGTTCCAGGAAACGCGCTGTGGAGACACGAGCGGTCGGGTCACGCGGGCGGCCTGGGATGACGTCGTCGCGACGCCCAGGAGCCCAACAATCTGGGGGCTCCCTGAGGGCCGCTGGGACATCCTGGCTGGCCTCACCTGCCACCCCCGACTACCAGCACCCCGCGGGGGCCCATCTTCCATCTGCCCGAGACGGAGGGGGCCGCGCGGGCGGTAGACATCCCTCTGATCCTGCCATTTGCGTTCCTCTCCCCGCCTCGGAGCCGTGCTGGAGACCTCTGAGCCGGAGGCCGCGGAGGGACAAGGACCTGCCGCATCACTGAGCCCCCCTAGAGTCTGCTCTTGGAAGCCTCCGCCTAAACACCCTCCCTGCTTCCTCCTCTCATCCCGCCCTCTTCCCCTTCCTTATGCAGGATGCATCGCCTTCTCTCTCTAAGTCATCCTTAGTGCTGACCTTGTTCCAGGCCTGTGCTGTCCCCTGGGAACCAAACAAGGGAAGATCACATCTCCCACCAGTTCACGGACCTTCAAGTGTAGTGAAAGTGACGACAAACACACACACACACACACACACACACACACACACACACGTATCCATACGGAAATGAGAATGTCAAAGGAGAAGTGTGGAGCTCTATAAGAGAGAATAAATAGTGGGAAGAGGTTGCCCGAGGTAGCTCACACCTATAATCCCAGCGTTTTGGGAGGACGAGATGAGAGAATTGCCAGAGCCCACTGGATCGAGACCCCAGCCTGGGCAACCTGGGGGGACCTCATCTCTACAATAAATCAAAAAAAGTATCCGAGTGTGGTGATGCATGCCTGTCGTTCCAGCTCCTTGGAAGGCTGAGGCGGAAGGATCACCTGAATCTAGCAGGTTGAGGCTGCGGTGGACATGAGCGCGTAACTGCACTCCAGCCTGAACGACAGTGAGACGACGGCAGAGCGAGACTCCGACTCATATAAAATAAAATAACAGGAAGATCTAAATTACATTAGGTTGTCAAAGAAGGAAGGACTCACTGAAGAATAAGAGTAAAGATGTGATGTGACAGGTTCATTTGGTTCAGCCCGTGTCAGAGTGAAGTGTGTATGTTTGGACAAAAAGCAAGACACATTTCCAGTAAAGGCAATACCACGTGCAAATGCCTGAGAGAATTGATGAGCTTCTTCAAGAAACCAGAAGGAAATTCACTGAAGCACAAAGTGAGGGGAAGAAGGGTAAAAGATTAGACTGGAGAAACCACAAGAAGTCAAATACTTAAAAGCCTTGCGGGTGATGTTGGGATTTTTAATCTACATTGCATGCAATGGGAATCTATCGAAGAGTTTTAAGGAAATTAAAACCCTGATACCAATATAGATCCACAGACCCCTTTTAGCATTTTAAATCCAGAAAGTTCAGAGATTCTTTTTTTTTCTTTTTCTTTTTTTTTTAAGCTTGGCAAATGTGACTTGGTGAGGTAAGGATTCTAAAGTGCCTCACAACTCCTATTTATCAAACTGGATTCTGTAGTTTCAATACAGGTATGTAAACATACATACATACATACAAACTAGTGTAAACACACATGTATTTCATATAACATGTATATATATGCGTGTGTGTGTATATAAATAGACACATTATATGATATGAAAAGGTAATAAAGAGTTAAAGGGTCAGGGCAGGATCTGGGATTCATTAATAAGGGTGCTTAATGCCTAGGACGTGTGGTTAACCTGGTAGTTAACCCATGTGGTTTTAACCTGTGGTTAAAAGAAGAATAAATGGAAGTCTCTTACACTATCAATAGTACAGAATATAAACTTACTACAGAAATATGAGGCATTTTATGAAAAACGTTTGTGGTAATCACCACTATTTGTGATTTATAGTGACAGGTTGTTGAAAGCTAATAGAAGATGACCAATAACTCAGAAAAATTTTGAAAAATACTACATAAGGAAAAAATAAAAATGAAGATCATGCACTTGCATTGACTGAATGAATTCAACAAAAAAGTAGTGAATTTATACAAGTGTTATGTCCTTTTTTTCTTTTGCAATGGAGTCAGCCAAAATAAACTAGGAAGAACTGAATTTGAATGTATGTGTGAAAAGTGAGACTAGAATTTTTAGATGCTCAGTGTTTTCAACCTCGGAAGTATTGACATTTTGGACCAGATAATTTTTTGTTGGGGAGGTGTTGGCTGCTACCAGTGTCCCTGGCTTCTACTCCTTAGTTGTAAGAAAAAAAACCCTGGTATGTCAACCAAAGTGATTCCATATACTGTCATATGTTCCTCAGGGGGTAATGGGAGAGAAGAGAGTGAGGGAGTGATGGGAAACTATACCTAGATGAGAACCACTGGTGTGTAAACCGTCTGAAAAATCTATGGTGAAAAAGCCACTAGTAATTATGGAGTAGCTGAGAATTACATGGAAAAATTTGGCAATATTATATCTCTTGAAAACCTTGACCTTACATATACCTTATGTTTTTTAGAAATCTTGTCTTATTTATTTTTCCAGCAAAATAAATTTGTTCAGAACCAAGATTTACTGGTTTCTTTACATTGCCAATCAATCACCATATCATATAATTTATCTTTCATATTATGTTCCTTCTTAATTTCTCTGCCATCGATCCAATATTTTTGTATAGAAATAAAATACAGCCACAGGCATTTTATTCCTGCCAAGACCCTAACTAATTCATTTTCTAGCTTTCAGTCTCCTACACACAACCGTACAAGTAGGCATCAAATTACCAGGCAGAACTCTCATATCTGCAGTCAAGCCCCCTCAGGAGAGGAGAAACTAAAATGACATTCTCATATAGACAGTTTACAAAAAATGACCAGGTCCTCAGACATTGAGCAGAGACCGTCACAGAGTTCCCTTTTCCCTTTAGTAATGATATCAGAGAGGAGAGCACTCTGAATCAAACAAAGTCTATCTTATTGCTCACAAATTCACTAAGTACCATCTTCACAGATGGGAAAGTGAAAAACTAAAAAGGAATGAAGTAGCTATCATTGTAGCTTTCATGGTTAGCACCATAATCCATTCTGTTGTGCTGAATTTAGGGTTGCCAGATTTAGTAAATAAAAGTACAGGATGCCCAGTTAAATTTGATTTCAAATAAATTATTGTCGTTCACCTGAAATTCAGATTTAACTTGACATCTGTATTTTACTTGGGAGCCTTAGCGTGATTTCTAATAAAATCTCAGACAAAAGAGAGGAGTTAATACTTCTTTGTGTTCTTCAACACATGCCCATGCTAGCCAGCACATATGAAACTTCTCAAATAAGTACAAAGTGAATTAAATTTTCTTCCATACACCAGAACTAGTAGCTCTGACATCTCTCTCTCTCATCCTAAAACACACTCTGGTACACATGAACATCATAAATTCTATTAATAACTTAAACCCAGTATAGTCACTATTCGCTAATAATGTTTAGAACATTAAGCCCTAAATTAAGAAAATCTTAATTTAACATTTAAATTAAATGAATTTAATTAATTAAAACATGAATTAAAACATGACCTCTCCTATTTGGATCAATTTGTAACAACAATAAGCATTCTTTATTAACCACAAAATGGATGTAATAATAGTTTATTCTTCAAAGGATTATTGATAAGTGTAAACTTCAGTACTTATTCTTCTTAGTGAAGATCACATAATAAACACCAAAATATTTTACCATTTTAATTGTCATAATTCCTGTAGAATCAACCTCACATTAACTTCTGTTCCTTAACTCCTAAAGCAAACATCATTTGGTAATTATGTTCTATTAACTATATCACTAATTACCATCTGAACACATTAGGGCAGAATCATTGGTTTATGTGTAATAATGCAACATATCCAAAACTCACAGAAATGGAATATGCTGACATAGAAAAGAAAGACTTTCTATATACCAGATTTACACTGTAATTTAATTTCTAGCACTGACTTTGCAACACAGGGTAAGTTACTTACACTTTCCGAGTTTTGGATTCCTTGAATGTGTATGGTTTTAAATACCACAGATATAATAGGATAACTAATGGAATTACACACTGAAATGTATAGGCCTGGTTAGTTTGTTTCTTTTTTTTTTTTTTTTTTTTTTTGAGTTGGAGTCTCACTCTGTCGCCCAGACTGGAGTGCAGTGGCCACTCCCGGCCACCGCAGCCTCACCTGCTGGGTTCCGGCGATCCTTCCACCTCAGCCTTCCGAGTAGCCGGAATTACAGGCGTACGCTACCACGCCCGGCTGATTTGATTTATTGTAGAGATGAGGTCTCGCCAAGTTGCCCGGGCGGGTCTCGAACCCGCGGGCTCGGCAATCCACTCACCTCAGCCTCCCAAAGGCGCGGGATTACAGGCTGAGCCACCGAGCCCGGCTTAGGCCTGGTTCATAGTAGTCACAGCAAAATGTTACAAAGCTTCATGCTAACAGACACCAGATTTGTTTTGTTCATTGCTTCATTTTCATCACCTAAGATTAGAACTAGTATATTCTAAGTCAATAATAAATATTGTCGGTGTGAACTAATGACCTGTTGCATAACCATCACTACAGTATACAAGGGCCCTCTAAGACTTCCTTGTTAATGACTGAGCATTCTCCCTGGTTCACAGGTCCTTCTACTTCTCTTAAGCCCCTTTATTATTTTCCTTTAGGTCCAGATAGCTCCCTGATCCCAGAGCACAGGCCTTTTCTGAAGTCTCCTACTCAAAAGAGTCAACCGTAATCCAGGCTTCTTCCTCTCACTCTTCAAATGGTCTGATCCAGTTTCCATCCGAAATACTCCACAGACTGCAAATGTCAAGTCCATCTCTGTCATGTTCTCACTTCGCCCACCTCTTAGTGGTGCTCCCACACTGGCCACTCCCCAGCCTTGAAAAAATCTATTTTTCTGACTTCCGCACATCATGTTCTGTTGATTTTTCTCCCACATCACTGGGCTCCTTCTCAGTCCCCTTTGTTGCCCTTGGCTGTCTTCTTTTTTTCTACATATAGTCTAGCTCCCTATATAACTTCTTCCACTTTACTAGAATTTATCACAGTACACGTGTCGATGATATCAGCACTAATAACTCCAGCTCTGCCCTCACAATCAACCCCAGTCTCTCCATAGAGATGTCAAAAAACCATCTCATACAAACTTAGGCAAAACCTTTATTTCTAACCTCCCATTTCAAATCATTTTCTCCCACAGTCTATCCTATTTCGATAAACTAGCACCACCATCTTCCTATTTCTCAAAACACTATCCACAAGAATAAACTTGGATTTCTAACCCCCATCTTGTATTTAATCCATTAGCAAGCTATGCAAAAACATACTCCAAATATGTTCACTCATCTTTATCACTGTCTAAATGAAACCATGGGCCTGTCTGTCCTAGAGATTTCTGCTGTGCTCCTAAGTGATCTCCCTTTCTCCACTTGTGAACTCCAACAACCCAATCTTCACATAGCTGCTAGAATTACTTTTTAAAATAGAATATAGGTGGATTCTCCTTGTAGCCTTCTAGTAGATTCCCAAAGCTGTTTACATAAGATTCCAATGTCTTGCAATGTCCATCAGGGCCTAATATGAGGATGCTTCTGCTGTCCTCTCCACCCTACCTCATTTGATGCCACTTCACTTACTTGCTCACTTCCCTTCAGCCCCTCTAGCCTTCTTTCTGTCCCTTCAACACAGCACACATCTCCCGCACCTCGGCCTTTCCCCTGTTCCATCTCTCTGCAAAATCTGTTCCTTAAATCACATGACTATCTTCTCATTATTTTTGTCTCAGCTGAAAGTCACATTCTCAGAAAGAGCTCCCTAGCCACTTGAACTAAAGTTGGGTGAATCCGGCTTTCTCTATCCTATCACCTTGATGTCTTTTTCAGGGCACTTATTTCTCCATGAAATTTTCTTCTTTGCTAAATGTTTATTGGGTTATCAACTGCCTCTTCTGTTATTAGTTTCTGGGAGAGTAGGATCTTTTCTTTCTTATTCAAATGGAACATTCTGAGCCTAGAAGAGAGTCCAGTACACAATAGTTGCTCAGAACAATATTTGGGGTCTAAATGAAGAAGCAAGCTTTCCAGAAATTGAGCACTGTGGGGATCCTGGAGAATGAGAAGGGCTCAAGCTCCAATACCCTTTTGTTCTGATGATGCACAATACCCGTTCTACTCCCTGTGAGGAATTCAGGCAAACTTTCTTTTTCTCCTCCTTCTACTGGGAAGAAAGATTCACAGGTAAGGAAACGGTGATTTTAAGAAAGGAAAATTTTTTATTAAGATTCATTTATTTTGATGGATCTCATTACTGCTGAGGGTCTGTGCAAGCTTCAGGAATTTTCAAAAATGATGACAACTTAGCTGAGGAAAAAAATAAAGAGGAACTGGAGGTATAAGTAAGCAGAGATGGCTAGAAGGAAAACGGAGGGGATTATGAGTGAACCTATGGAATTTGGGAAAGGAGTATAGTCGAACAATGAGTTCCTCATTGATTTTCAGCCTTATGTGATGTTAACAACCTTTAGTCTCTGTAACTCCACTCAAGGTAAATAGTTTGAGCCATAAAATTGCTGATATTTCACTATTTTTGACTAAAAAAGTATAATTTCATACCATTTGTTCTACACTAGTTGAACCCTTTCTTGTGGGATCTAGTCAGAGAATGTAGTATTTTTGGAGAAGCCAGTAGAAAGGTTCAAAATAAATTCATGACGCACACTAACCTGTGTCAGATTTTCAGAGGATGGCTTATGTTTTTTAAGGCATCAAAAAAACACCCCATAAATGCTTCTTACCTAGAGGTTCATTTTAAGTACGAAAGATATCTGCTTCAGCTTCAGGGTCCTTTTCCCAGAAAAAAATAGTGAATAATAATACAAATGTCAGTCAGAGAACCTCAGTACAGGAATGTAGGCTTTATAAATATTGGACATCACGGAGTAAAGAAAGGAGAAAATGGGAAGACCTCTTCGCACATCTTCATACACTAGGGAGAGGCACCCAAACCACAGATTCTGTTGAGGACGTAACAGGATATTCCAGGAGAGATCCTTCAAATGCCTTGTAACACCCCACCAATTTTTCAGAGAAACCCTCCTTTCCTGTGGCATAACTCAACATAATAAAGGGAAGTGTAGTTTGGGGAATTAGTTTAACATTCTTATTTCTAAATGCGAAATGTGATACAAAACCGCAGAGGTTTTATTGGAGGAAATTTGAAAAGAAATTACTTATATGGAGGCCCTTTATGCAGGTCTCATGTATAGAGCAAGTAGCAGGCTCCTTTGCTTGTGGAAATAATAGGGAATCATATGATAAAGATAAGTCCTATCTGAATAAAATGTCACAACTTCTTAAGAGATATAGCCAGGATACAGTGACAAAGTTAATTCCCTTTCTTCCCCCACCCCATCATAGCTCAGCACCCAAAGTGTACACTTACGGCGGGTGTCCGTAGCCAAAGCCAGGGGAGGGCTCAGCACCATCAGTATCATTGTCAGAGCTGCCATCCAGGACCCTCCAGGGAACCACAGGTGCACCATGTTGGAACAGGAGAGGACTAGGTGTTAGAGGAGCAGACAAGTCTCACTCAGAACTATGACCCTCCTCCACCCACATCCCAAATCATAGGAACAAAGTTACTCCTTCCTTACTCAGGATTTGGTAACCCAATGTGACAGAACCAATCAGCATCAGAGCTGAAAAGCATCATCTGTTGCTGGTCAGAGATTCTTTATGGAGGTCCTCTTCTGAAACAGAATTTCCTTCATTAACAGATTGTTTTAATTTAATTCTTTAACGGTTTGATCCAGTTGCATATGAATTGGGTTCCTTTAATTGGGTTCCTACTGTAAACCAGCTCTGTGCTGATCAGTGTTGTGTTCACAAGTTTGAGCACTGTGGGGGAGCATTCAATTGTCACTTGAGGTCAGCACTGTTTGGACAAGTATGTATATGAATGTATTTGGGAGTAAAAAAGATGGAGAGAATATCATTGCAAATCAGAAGATCTTTAATCTGGTCCTTATAGAGCCATAATTTAGTGTTGTAGATTTGAGGAAATTACTTAACTTCTCACAGTTGAAATGAAGGCATTGTGATCTTTCAAGTATTTCAGTGCTGGAAAATGCTGTGGTTTTATGGACACTTCAGGGAATAGCATTCCCTAGTAACTGATGATGTGACAGAATCACTGCTGTTGATTGGAGGGTATACTCTGTACTTCTTTACAGGTAGGGATCTCTGACAAGCTAAAGAAAATCGAAAGTATTTAACAATTTAATCTGAGTAAGAAATATTTTTCACGTTTGTGTCCTGATGCTGTCAGGAAGTTTGTGGCACCTCCAGAACACACACAGGGAAGAAACTTGAGCCGGGCTCGGTGGCTCAGCCTGTAATCCCATGCCTTTGGGAGGCTGAGGTGAGTGGATTGCCTGAGCCCGCGGGTTCGAGACCCGCCTGGGCAGCAAGACCTCATCTCTACAATAAATCAAAAAATCAGCCTGGCGTGGTAGCGCATACCTGTAATTCCGGCTACTCAGAAGGCTGAGGCAGAAGGATCGCTGGAGCCCAGCAGGTCAAGGCTGCGGTGGCCAGGACCAGCCACAGCACTCCAGTCTGGGCAACAGAGTAAGACTCCAACTCAAAAAAAAAAAAGAAAAAGAAACTTGGAGGAATCATTCATGTGAATGTACCTTTGTATAGCACCAACCTAAAAATGTAAACATGTCATCTGTCCAAATCATAGTATGTAGGGGGCTGAGAGATCAACCAAGCACTCACAGTCAGCTGCTGACACAATACTGCCTTAAAATAATTAATATTTTATTTGAAAAAGCTCAATCTCTGGTTCCCACTATTACTTTCTCATTTTATTAAGGCTATCTCCCTTTATTAGTCTTCTTGGGTTGCTTTACCCAAAGGAAAGATATGAGAAAAATTTGCTAATAAATACATTATAGAATGTTCAGGAAAAAGAACACTATGGAAAAACTATGGGAATTCCAGACAAGACGACAATGGAACAGGTTGGACTGTGAGAGTCTCCACAAAAGCAAGTGTCCATAAAGACTCTCTGCGTGAGTAGGAATCTGTCCGTGGGTGAGTGAAAGTATGTCTGAGGGGAGACTTCAGTTCATGTACACAGGGTTCTCCTCCAGAGGTGACTGCAACCCACCACTGCACTGAGACTGAAGACCCAGGCATGAAGGATTGTCTGCCATTCTCAGGGCTCTCTTCAGAGGGGCAGCAGAGAACAGCCACCCCTTACCTCCTGGCACCCGACCCATGCCATCACCTGCAGTAGCAGACTGGGCACAAGCAGGAGGACACGGGTCATGGAAATCCGGACTAAATCTCCGACACCAGTGATGAGACAGCAATGGGCACCATCTTCTCAGTCCCAGGGCCAGGAAGAGATATCTATTGCTCCACCCAGCTCCAACCAACCTCCATATTGAGATCCAGAGGCTATCGTCTCATCAGACTCAGAGAGACAGACGCCCCTCTCCCACACTGGAACAGGCACAGACACATCAGAACTGAGTGGGACACCTGACAGCAGCAGAAGTGAGTAGGGTGAGTCCACATCTGCTCCATTCTCCTCCCACAGTATTCCATGGGGCATCTGACCCATGCTGAGAGTAATCCTATCAGTCAGCGAGGAGGGGCTGGAAACCAGAGCCACTCCCAAAGGCAGAGGCCTAAAAGGAACCTGGAGCCACAGAAGAAACCATAGAGACAGGTTTTTTTGTTGTTGTTATTTGTTTTTTGTTCTAATCTTAGTTGGTTTTACTTTTCCCTTTCTTGCTGTTTTTGTTTATGTTTTTGTATTTGCTTTGTTTCTGTTTTAATTTTTTTTTTTTTTAGATTTTCGGTTTGTGTGTAAGTACTTTTGAGGGAGAGTACACTAACAGAGGGTTTTTGTTTGTTTGTTTGTATAACTGCCTGTATGTGTCTATCTTTTTTGTTTTTTCTGTTTTTGTTTGTCTCTCTGTTTATGTGTTAGTTAGTACATCTGTCTGTTTTCCCTCTTCTTCTCTCTCTCCACCTCCCTTTCATCGTCCTCTTTCCTTTCTCCATTCTTTTCCTTTTTCTTATCTCATTTTGCTTTCAGGGGGCAAACGGACACCCCCACTGCATGGACAGATTGTAAGGCAGTGAAAAGTAGGTTCCAGGGGGCCCACACACCTGTCAGTGGACACTGGGATGTGCTGATAGCTTTTGAATCACAGATCCCCCCCCTTAATTAAATGTCAAAACTGCAGAAAACACAGGTCCCCATCCCCAATCCAGCTTCAGAATTGAACAGAACCAGAGGATCTACATAAGAAATAATAGGAGATTGAGTAAAAAGAAATAAAGGCTAGTCCCCCTATCACTAAACAAAAAAATTAAAGAAAAGGTTAAAAAAGGGGAGGGAGGAGGAAAACCTACACAAATGAAGAAAAATCAAAGGAAGAATATGAGTCTCATACAGACCCCCTGAGAGGCCAGCCACTTTGAATACAGACTTCAGAACTCAAATGATGAAGAGTCCCCCCAAATGACTGGGGTCTCAAACCACAAACACAGATATCAGGATATTAATAGAGAGAATAAATAGAATTGAGGAGAGACAAGAGGAAAGAATGAAGGAGCTGAAAACAGAGAAAACAGCAATAAAGAATATAGTGAATGAAATAAAAACAAACTGATAAGCATGGAAATCAGAATTAACCAAGGAGCAGAAAGAATCTCAGAGTTTGAGGACCAAAATATGGAAGTAATACAAACTGCTAAAAACATAAAAAAGAAACTTAAAAAGACAGAACAAAACCTCCAAGAGATGAGTGATTATTTCAAGAAGATGAACATAAGATTAATTGGAATCCCTGAGGTAGACAGAGAGACAGAGAACACCCTGGAGCAAACATTCCATAAAATTACCTAATAAACCAGGCTCGGTGGCTCAGCCTGTAATCCCACACCTTTGGGAAGCTGAGGTGAGTGGATTGCCTGAGCCCGCAGGTTCAAGACCCGCCTGGGCAGCAAGACCTCATCTCTACAATAAATCAAAAAAAAAAATCAGCCAGGCGTGGTAGCACATGCCTGTAATTCCGGCTACTTGGAAGGCTGAGGCGGAGGGATCGCCGGAGCCCAGCAGGTTGAGGCTGCGGTGGCCAGGAGCGGCCACTGCACTCCACTCTAGGCAACAGAGTGAGACTCCAACTCAAAAAAAAAATTACCTAATAAAACTTACCTCATCTCATCAGTGATGTGATCGTTCAAACACAAGAAATTCTGAGAACAACAACAAATGAGAAGATCAACATAGTAGGCACATAGTACTTCAGTTACACAAAGTAGGTATAAAAAAATTCCTAAAGGCAGCAAGAGAGAAAGGTCAGAATACATACTAGAGAAGATCAGTTAGAATAGCAGAAGACTCACCTACAGAAACACTTCAGGCTAGGAGAGCTTGGAACTGAATCTTCAAAGTTCTCAAATATAAGCAATTTCAACCAAGAATTACCTTCCCAGCTAAGTAAAGTTTCATCAGTGATGGAGAATTAAAATCCTTCCCAGACTTTCAATCCCTAAGAATTTATGCTGCCTCCAGACCAGCTCTACAAGAGCACTTAAGAAAGTATTAAACACAGAAAAAATGAAAAAAGAACATCAACACCCTCTGAAGAATGCAGGAAAAAGATTGAAAACACATAAGAATCAACCCAAAAAGCAAAAGAAAGACAACAAACAAATAAATAAAGAGCAACAACAACAACAACAACAAATTCTATAAGAACCTCATGACAGGGATAAACTCACAAATATCTATAATTAGCCTGAATGTGAATGGGTTAAATGTACCACTGAAAAGACATAGAATGGTAAAATGGATAAAATGTCATGAAGCAACAATATATTGTCTCCAAGAGACTCATCTCACCAGAAAGGACACTCAAAGACTCAAAGCAAGAGGATGGGAAACAAACTTTCAGATTAATGGAGCACAAAAGATAGCAGGAATCACAATCTTAATATCAGACAAAATACCCTTTGAGCTATCAAAAATTTAAAAAGATACAGAGGGTCACTACATAATGATAAAAGATTCAATCCACCAACAAAAAATATCCATCCTAAACATATATACACCCAGCATAGGAGCACTAACTTTCATAAAGCAGCTTTTAGGTAAACTAAAAAAAGATATTGACTCTAACACTATCATAGCTGGGGATCTAAATATCCCACATACAACCCTAGACAAAAAAGTCAACAAGAAGATCTGGAACCTCAACATGTTGCTTGACCAAATGAACTTAATCTTTTTTTTGAGTTGTCACCAAGGCTGGAGTGCAATGGTACACTCACAGCCACCCCAGCGTCAACCTGCTATGCTCTGGCGATCCTTCCACCTCAGTCTTCCAAGTAGCCGGAACTACAGGCACACACTACCATATCCAGCTAATTTTTTATTTGTTGTAGAGACGAGGTCTCTCCAAGTTGCCCAGCCTGGTCTCAAACTTGCAGGATCAGGCAATCCACTTGCCTTGGC